GGTCTAGGATAGTGTTCTCTTGCGAAAGAGATACATGGTACTACCTCCACTTCAGGTTATAAGATTTTCTAGTATTGCCTACATTGATATAGAAGTTAATGAATCTAGGCACATATATATATCTAGATTCATTAACATGTATATAAATGTGGACAATGATAGAAAGTCTTATAATATACCCCCTCCTTCTCTAAATGTTTGACGCCGTTGACTTTTCTAGATATGTTTGACCGTTCGTCTTATTCAAAAACTTTTGTGAAATATGTAAAACTATATGTATATATAAAAGTATATTTAACAATGAATCAAATGATAGGAAAAGAATTAATAATTACTTAAATTTTTTGAATAAGACGAACGGTCAAGCATATTTAAAAAAGTCAACGGCGTCAAACATTTAGGATGGAGGGAGTAAAACGGAGGAAGTAACATAGTCGTCTACGGCGTATTGTGTAGCTTCACTCATCATAGTAGTTCGTACATACAAAATTATCTCCGGATAGGATAGACACGAATACACACCACGACGTACGTCCAAAATCATGCATGTGCTTGCTGTTAACCGGTAGTAGAAGCTAGTACTAGCAGAGGTCGATCGATGTTTGGCGCTGACTACGTGCTTCTTTCATTCTTTCTTCTCCCACACCAAACATGGTTAATGATGAAAATGTCGAAAGTATAAATATTCATGCATATATCCTGCCAAAGATTGAATATATTCTCAATCTGGATGCTTTTTTTTTGTTTATTTTTACAGAGGAAGCTGTACAAATTAAGATGCAGTTAAATCAGTGCAAAAAACAGGCGAGCTAGCTAGTATATATTCCAGCTTTGTAGGGGGAAATATACTAGCAAAATGTAGTATATGTATACCTGTCATGGTCGTGTGCTTGGACTCTGAAACGGCGGCCAGGTGAGTGAGAATATTCAGAGATGGCAGCGGAAAATCAGTTCCGTGCGCGCACGCTCCGAGGGAGGAGGAAGGATCGATCAGCTTTGGTTGTTGGAGCGAGCATGGGCGGAGTCGGCTGGGTGGGATTAGTCGTCAGAGCGCGCCGCGAGAGCACGCGACGCGATCGACTACGTACTACACGAGCAAGAAGACGACGACGGCATATCCTTTGTCGCGGTTGAAAAAGCGGTTGGACATTCCTAGCATCATCTCCCGGGGCCTGCCCGCATACTTGAACTCTTCTTACTATAGTACAGCTACTGGTACTCTCTACTAGTCTTTGTCTTTGTTCGTTTGGATGGCTCGGAACCCTCTCCCCTTCACATGAAAAGCGGAGCAGGGATTAGTACATAACTAGTTAAGTACTGAGTATTAGCTAATGAAACTTGAAAAATAAATTAATATTTTTTTTCAAAAGACTTTTTTATATTGTATCGTTTATCCGTTCGAAAAGTACATAATTAGAAAATGACGGAGTATACGTTAGAGAAGTGCAGTTGGAAGCATGCTCCGTACCATATTAATTAGATAAGAAGAAAGATGCGTGCTGTACATTAACCCACATAGGCTTCAACACGTGCACGTGCGTGCCAACAATCTATTTTCCTTGATTATATGTGAACGCGCCACTATATATACACCATAGTCACACGTCGTGTATGTTGTCTTTAATACAAACTTGCTAAAAAAAAAAGAAACTTTCAAATATGAATTGAAGGCATAACGATGAATACATGAACCTCGCAAAATCTCTGTTGAAAACACACACACATGTAAAGCGTGGTCACCAAAAACTAAACCCAAAGTGAATCTCTAGTTATGCACTTATGCTCCTCCACCATCTATTTGCATTTACATTGATTTGGGAACTATGGTAAAATCCTCATGTTAATTAGAAAAATCAAACTGTCAATAAGGTAAATTGTATTTATCATGATTATAGAATTTAATTGAGACTACTTCAAACTGAGGGCAACTTAGTCATTGTTAATTCCAAAATGTTGAATTATTAAAAAAAAATCTCTAGTTGAGATTTCATACATAAAGAACACATCACAATATATTAATTCTCAATTTTGGAACTTTTGAATTACTAAGCACACTAAATCGGGGCTCCAATACAAATACAACTTTATTTTTGCATTTAAAAGTATCGAATTCAAAAATTGAAAGTAAAGGAAGAAGTATTTGGATGGAGTCTATATATAGTTTCATGATTAATTATAATTTTGATCGATTCTTGAAACTGTCGATAATATGAAACCTTTTTCTCTATCCTTAATTATTAGTACTTCAAAAACATACATACATAATTGTCAACAAAATTTAGGCGTAAATAATGCTTGCACGAGTTACTGACCAGTAGTGACCAGGGTTTACAAAATCAGACCAACAAAAGAAAACGAAAATTAAAGTGAAATCTCACTATATTCTGTCAAAAATTTAAAATCCAATTTAAGCCACAGCTTGGAAGTTCAGTTTCCGTACGTGACGTCGGTTTTGTAAATCCTTTTCTAGTGACTCGTGCATCCATTTGTTCTTCATGTACTTTACCACAATCCCAAACATGTACGCCAGGTTTCATATTGGTCATTGTAGCGGTAAAAGATTGACCCATTAATGGACAACATCTGCTATATTTCCTTGTGGAAAATGGAAAATACATATCGTGAAATAAGAATCATATCAGAAGTACTACCAATCTATTTCTCCATCATGACTTATGGTCAATACGTTGATTCAAGCAATTATTTTTTTCACCACCATTAATTTGCATATGCACGAGTTATTTGGTTCATCACAAATACAAGCCTTACCCAAAAAAAAATGTAAACTATATATTAAGGCTTGGTTTGTTGTCAAAAATTAAACTTTTGAAGAAGATCTTAGTTGGGTTTGGTTACCAAAATTTTGTTGTTGCCAATTTTTTGGGTGAATAACCAACATGATCCTTAAACTTTCGCTTAAGGATTAATTTAGTCCCTGACATTTCGTATTATCGAAACAAGTACCTTAAGTTCATTGTGATTCAATATGCTCCTTTGACCCTCTAAACATGTTATGCGTACATGCCACATCATCTATGCATGCAAATTTAATATTTAAATGTACATTCCACCCTTACGTTTTCATAGAAAATAAAGAAAAACTATTGAGGAAAAAAATATTTTGGCCATTGGCAAAAAGATGTAGCATTGGTAACTAAAAAAATTGGCATTTTCCTTTATTTTATGATTGCTTCTTCTTGTTTTTACTTTTTTTTTATTTGATAGAAAATTGAAGGTTAAAATGGACATTTAAATGTTATCTTACATGTACGAATGACGTGGCATGTCCACGTGGCGTTTTAAGTGGGTCTAAAGGCTATATTAAGCCACATGATAATCTTTAGAATCTTGTTTGGACATTATAAAACATCAAGGATTAATTCGACCTCTGAACAAAAGTTGAAGGATTGAACGGGCTATTTAACAAACAAAATAGGTACTCCCTCCATCCACAAAAGTTAGACATATCTCACATTTGAGTTTTTTCAAAATAAGTTGTTCCTATTTGTAGTCTTTATGCATTCAAAACTTAAATGAAAAGATAAATTAAATGTTTGATTAGAATCCAAGGAGTCATCTAAATACTCATTGGTTGCATGCTTGCATTCACTTCTTGATTTTATAACATCCAAGATTATTTAATTTCTCCTTGCTCTTGGTGATAAAAGTAATAGGTGTAACTTTTGTGTGGATGGAGGGAGTATATAGTTCCATTTTTTTTTCGAATGCGCAAAAGAATTGCACGTTAATATATTAGCAGGAAAAGAGTTTTTGTTACACAAAGCAATCAGCCAGACTGGCTTATGCCTTAAGGGGGGGGGGAACAAAATAAAAAAAAACTTGAAGCTAGGAACTACTACGACGGTTAAAAATGCAACTCCAAACAGCGGGAGGGGACAGAGCCACGCTACACTCCCAAGAAATCTCAAAAAAAGCAACGCCGGCTAAAGACCACAGCTGACCCTCCGAGCGGATAGACTCCAGAACCACTGCGACCGAAGGGAGCGCAGAGTCGAAAACCCTGGAGTTTCTTTCCTTCCACAGCTGCCAGGAGACTAGGAGTACCAAGGAGTCAAAGCCGCTGCGGAGGTGCTCAGGTAAACAGGCCCTGGAGGATGAACACCAATCCTGGAGCCAGCTGCCACGAGGGGGAGAGAGGGCAGCCCAGCCAGGAGGGGACATCACACGGAGCCAGACCTGCCGAGTGAACACGCAATCGATGAGGATGTGGTTCGCCATCTCAAGCTCCTGAACGCAAAAGGGGCAAGCAGAGTATATAGTTCCATCAATATTACCATTTTTTTGTGTGGCCAATTAATATGGGCAACCATTTTTTTGTGTGGCCAATTAATATGGGCAACAAATTGAACAGAGCCGTTCTCGGTTGTTGTTCCAAGCTTGTAGGAGATGCATGCATTTTCAATCACCAATGTCTGCCGCACATATCAGGCCTTTTCTGTTAGTGCTGCCGCTGCTTATTCTCACCTCTTCCATTTTATTATTATTATTCCATTTTGCTCCTACTATACTAGTTCGTACTCTCAAATTGCAGTTATCTCAATTTTATTTACTCCTACATATTACGAAATATACTGCTTAAAAGACAATCAACTTTTCTTCAGGTAAACCTTGAACGAGGAGGATAAGGAGTTCCTGTTTTATATTAAAGAGATTAAAGGAGTTGATATATTTTTTAGAAACCAGACTCCAAAACCTTCGAAATGCACGGTCAATTAAAACAAAACCAGCAATCAACTTTGGTCCCGTCAGATATATAAACAAAACTTTTCTTTTTCGTTTTGCCAAAATTTAAATGGAATCGATGGATTATTTGTTTGTGTGGGGACAGAGACAACTACTAGTATGCATATAGATTATAGAGATATATATACATATGCACAGCACCAAAAGGCAACAGTAGTACGTATGACAACAATTTTAGGCCACAATTAACGGAACATATACCGCACCCCCAAAAATTAACAACCTGCTGCAAATAATTAATGATCCCAAGCACACACCGATTTAATTAGCTGTATAAACAACCAGATCCAAAACCTGATAAAGTTACAGCTTTTGATCTGTGATTTTGCCATCCCATCACAAGTATGTACAAAACAGAAACAGAAATGGAGCACACCACATGGCAAAGTGGACAACAACAACAACAAGATAAAGAAAAAGAGAAGATTATAAAACAAAAAAAGAAACAAGAAAAAAGAAAGCTAATCTGTCAAGCAACACCACACACACTAGATCAAAGATCTGCTAGCTCTATAGACTATAGAGTAATAGTATTAAGTGTTTGATATGATATGATATGATCCTACATCACCTCAGCTAATTAAACAAAGCTGTTGTTGTTTGCCTTCTAACAGGGTCACTGACTGACTGCTTCATCTTCCCTTTAATTTGCCTTGAGGAAAGAATTGAAGCAAGTCAGGAAAACAACTTGGACGCATGCATGCCACCGACGCTGATCCAAGCAGCGGCGAGCAAGAAACACACATATATATGGAGGAGGAGGAGGAGATGGAATTAGAAAGGTCAGGTGGCGGCGAGCTCGTGGCACTCGAGGATGCACTCGAGCCGCGGGCGCCACCCGTCGCCGGCGCGGTGGGGAGGGGGTGGCGGCGCGGCGGAGAGGGCGGAGGAGAGGGCGCGGGCGGTGGCCATCTGGTTGAGGACGTCCTCGAGGCGGCGGTCGCCGGTCTTGAGCTGGGACATGAGCCACTCCAGCTCGGCGCGCTTCAGGACCACCTTCACCTTCACCCCCGCCGCCGCCGCCGCCGCCGCCGCCGCCGATGCAGCCGTCTCCTCTTCATCCTCCTCCTCTGCCGGTTCTTCTTCCCTCAGCAGGTGTCCGATCGTCGTCGTGGCGGTGGCAGTGGCGGAGGCCGGCTCGGGCGTCGCGTAGCACCACCCCTCCTCCTCGTCCATGTCCTCCGGCGGCGGCATGCCGCCGTGGCGGCGCGCCTTGGAGGCCGGGTTGAGGCAGTTGCCCATGGCGGTTGGGCGCCGCTCGTCGGGGAAGAAGGAAGAAGGAATTGAAGAAGAAGAGGAGGAGAAGTGGAGAAAGGCGAGGCGCGGGCGCGGGGGGCGTTATATAGGCGGGTGGGTGTGTGGGGCCCGCAGCCGCATGCGGCTCGCACATGGGTGGGACCGGGAGGGGTGTGTGCGCGGTTGGGTTGGTGTGGTCTGGTCGATCGGCTGCATGCGCGCTTTCGCTTTTGGAGTCGAGGGGAAGGACCAAGGAGATGGTCGGTCGGTCGCGGCCGCATGCGATGCGATGCGAGCGTGCGTTGCTTTTCGGCTCTCGCTTGATTGCTCGCGTGGTCGTGTGCCGCCCGCCCGCTACACCCACAGGCAGCCAGAGTGTGTTGTTGTGTTGTGTCCCATGCATCCATGATCGGTATGGACAGGCAGGAAAGCAGGGGTTGGACGACAAGGGTGATTGGAGACAATGTGTGCGTCGATTTCCACGTTGATTAAGGCCTTGTTCACTTTGTTATCAATTTCGCAGTGCGAGCTTGCGATCGACCTCAGGATACTCAAAAGTTTAAAAGTTTTTCACCTATAAAACTTTTGAATGATATATTGGTAATCCCAAATAAAAAAGAGAACGCAGTCAACAGTAAGACGTCCATGGTAACTTCGTCAATCTCAAGATATGCTAATCCAACCTTCTGAAAAATGCTCATATGGTATAGGAAAAATAAAGATAGTCTTCATTGTCCATGCTAGCCCACGAAACCATAATCTCTACGCCCTTAAATATCAGGGTAGTAGTGTGGCGTTTTCCCCTTTCTTGGTGTTTTCCCCTCTCTCTCCCCACTCAACCAACGCTCCCTCCTCTCTCCCCCCTCAACCAATCGACGCGCTCTCCTCCTTCTACCGCGGCGCGGAAGGTACGAAGCGGTAGCAAAGCCAAGCGAAGCAACAACAGAATATTAATTTGTCCCGCACCTCAAACAAAATACTGTCTAGCTTCTAGATTTTCTGTATATATTTAAATATGTACTTACTACATATATACTCCCTCCTTCCCTAAATATTTGACGCCGTTGACTTTTTTAAACATGTTTGACCGTGTTCAAAAACTTTTATGAAATGTGTAAAACTATATGTATACATAAAACTATATTTAACAATAAATCAAATGATAGAAAAAGAATTAATAATTATTTAATTTTTTTTAATAAGATGAACGGTCAAACATTTTTTTTTAAAGTCAACGGCGTCAAATATTTTGGAAAACATTTTGGGATGGAGGGAGTATACACATACCGGCCGGTAGTCTAACGTGTTGGGTAGAGATCGATATAACATGAAGCATAATAACCAAGCTGCACGTGAACACACACGCGAATTGTTGATCGAATGCTGTCAACAATTATATCCGTGTGCGCGCGTCTTAATCTGTCCTGAACCCGATACTGCGGATGCGTGTATGTACGTGTACAGACCACATAATGCGAAAAAAAATTAAAATACATCCTTTTTATTATCACCAATTTTACATGAATATATATATATATATATATATATATATATATATATATATATATATATACTTTTGGAATTGAAGGGATTGGCAAAATTATACCTTTATCACGGAGCGTGGATGAAAACTTGCATCGAGTTCGTACGGTGAGTGTGTGAACCGGTGACGTGTTTGTGTTATCATGGGTTTGCACGGTAAGTACACAACTCGTGTCGTTCTTGTGATAATCAAACTCGTGTGAGGAAATAGCGAGAACGGTCCGTGTCACATACCACCTTATGTGAACCTATGGAGGGGATGCGAACTCCCGGCGGGCGAACTCGCGTGTAAGTTTATGTGGTACATGTATTCAACTTATAAGTTAGGCATGCATTCGCAGCTAGCACACATATATAATAAATTCAGATAATGCAAGACATACAAAACCACACTGGCTCTCTACAAAAGATTCATGTCAGTATATTTTTCTACTTGGAAGAGATTAAATAAAGAGAGAGAGCAAAGCTATCTACTAACCTGGAGATAGTCTATAAAGAAAAACGAGGCAATAGATTAGAGATCTATAGATACCCATGTAGACATACTATTGAAGTGGTTCACTATTAATATAGTCTATTGCTAAGATGTACATGTTTTATAGATAGTACCTTACTTTACCATTTCGGGTGCTCTAGTATGCAAATTCTCGATCCACTCCAAACGTATATATTCCGGTAAAATCGATGGAAAAAATATTTTTAAAAATTTCCATATAATGCCAACAGTTGCTGTGCTGTAATATGTAACCGTACATTATTGTTCGTACTAACTACAGTATACTCTATATGGGTTACTGTGCATGTATGCCATTTGATCAATATTCGATCGACACGAAGGCAAGATTCCATGCATGTCGCCTCGTGACGAGATGCCAAAGTGGATCACCTGCTGCCAGCCCAATAGTTACTACGACTAGTACCTACGTATACGCAGCTAGCTGCTCCTATTTGTATTGTTGTTTGTGGCAATTAATTCTAGGGTAATTAAGCTCTTGCAGAGATATAGAGATATAGGGTATGTTTGGGGGAGTTTTCTTAATTAAATATTGTAACTTTTCTAAGAATTAGAAATCTTCTTAAACAGTTCAGTTTTTTATCTAGATTCTAAGAAGTTTTATAGCCGTAGAATTCAGGAAATAAAATATAAGCCAGCAACTGAAAAACTCGCTTTCCTGGATTCTTAGAAATAGTATTCCTTGTGGAAAAGTACAACCTTAACGATCGAACTATCGAAGTCGCGCTTCCACACATGTAAAGATCTTTCAGTTTTACGTAAAGACGTTCCCTGTCATGCAAATTTTTTTTTTGAGAACTCACTTGTCATGCAGTAGTATAATTAATTTCTGCTATATTTGATGAATCCGTCAATTTAGCAGAAACTAATTATATGGTTTCTACCATAGATAAATTACACTACTATCTCCGTTGACCGTTCTTAGACTGGGTATCAAATTGAATTAGGTCAAACTAATGAAGTGTCACCAGATTCACAGCCTAATACTACTCATTATCTAATTAATACTCCTTCCGTGTCTTAAAAAAATATAGTTTTAGTCAAAGACAGATTAAGCAGGGGGGTTAAAACAACTACTCAGTCCTTTTTATGAATGTGGAGAGAAACAAAAGGAGGATGAGAGAGTATTAATAATTTGATGGCTAAAAACACACTTTAAGGCCGCTTTGATCTATTCAATAAAATATACAAAATTTGGAGGGTTTCAATTCTATAGAAAAATTCTATAGAAAAATTCCTATGAAATTCCAATGGAATAAATGATCTTACTAAGATTTTGGAGAAAAGTTAGTATAACCTCCAGATTTTTTTAAAAAAAATTCTTAAGTCTATCTCTCTCATTCGATTCTTAAGTTTATTTTCAATCTACTCAAACGATTATTCCTGTATTTTATAGTTTAGTATTTTTTTTGCACTTGTAGTCTGTAAAGAAAATCTATTTCTCTAGTTTTTCAATCTTTTTTTAACTTTTTTTTCAATCTGCGTATTAAAGAGCTCTGAAAATATGTTTCTTTTCACAAATCCTGAGTACTCCATTAGGATGGACTGACTAAGGGAGTAAACGATGCCTAATTACCATGCATTCACACACAGTGATGCAGAAATTAATGTAGAATATATACTGTTCTAAAGTTTACTGACATATCTCGTGCCCGTGTTAGGACCTACTCCTAATCAAAGGGTACTACCTCTGTCTTAAAAAAGACAAACCCTATGTTTCCGTGTCCAACGCTTGACCATCCGTCTTATTTGAAAAAAATTATGAAAAAAATTAAAAAGATAAGTCACGCATAAAATATTAATCATGTTTTATCATCTAATAATAATGAAAATACTAATTATAAGAAAATTTTATATAATACGGACAGTTAAACGTTGGACACGAAAATTAAGGTTTATTATTTTTTTTGAACGGAGGAAGTACAGAACTAGTACTAATCGTTCAAGCTAGGCAGAGGCAGAGAAGGGGAGATTCAGAGAGTCCTAGGAAGCAGACAGAGGAGGTGGGGGTCAGGTAGCCATGAAATCCGGCAGGAAACACTATGGATTTACGTGCTCTCCAATGCAGCGCGAGATCACGGGAAGACAGGATTAAGCTAGAGCTTAAATTAGCTTCCTAGCTAACCATAGAGGAATCAAAATAGAACCATGAATCATCACAAGCAAACAGTACACACAATAGCCCCCAAAAAGGGCCATCTGGTCCATTTGTCTGATCCATGCTTATATATGCATAGCCAAAACATGTGGCCAGCGACGTGTGAAGACCAAACACTAGCAAATTCAGCTATACTACTAGTACCTAACTAGACACTAAAGCATATATATTATGCTCTGGACTTACATGGACAAGGCGAGCTAAACTACAAGTAATTAATCAGGCTAATTGTATTAATGCTAAACTTTAACATGCATGCTTTGTACATGTTCAGACTAATTCAGAGGATATCTATATATATGTTCTTCACCTAATCCCCACGCATGGATCAACAAGAAGCAATGGAACACTGACACTGTATATATAAATGACTTCAACTAGCAGATCAGATCAAATTATATATCGTTTACTCGTTTTGCAGGTTTAAACCAGACTTCCTAGGCCGTCTCGAGAGCACAAACCGTTCAGTTTTCTCTGTCAAGTCCAAAAACATTCAAACTGAATTTTAAACTTTCGATGGAACTTAACCAGATTTTACCGGAAGTCAACAGAGTTTCAAATTAACCGAAAGAAAGCTTACTGCTCCCGGATTTTAGCTCGGAAACGTTTGGTGAAGCCGAAGACTAGTAAGTAATTAAGAAAGTGTACGTCTTGGTCTTTTGGGTTGTTGGCTGTTGGAGAGGCGACATAAACTGGCGAGCATATGCCTTTCAGTTAGCAGATGTGTGCGACTTGGTCGCCTTCCTGTCAGTCGTTAAGCTCCTAATTAACAATTAATTTAAAGCATGCTGGCTTTTGCATGCATGGGTGTGGATTAATCAATGGACATATCCATGTCGACCAACAACCAAAATGGGCCCTTAGCTAG